GGTGACAACGCGTATTCAAGACTGTAGACACAGTGCGTCAGCCATGAAACTGACACATTTAAATATTTAATCATATGCAGTGACGATTCACGATGTATTTAAATATATAATGAGATGCAGTGACGTTTGTTTTATGATTCGCTGAAACAGTTTCATGAGAACCGAAGGATGGTGGCCTAGCAACCACTGCACACCATGGAATCAACTGAACTTGAAACAAAAACTTATGCTAATGACATGGCCATGTGGTTGTTGATCAGGGCAAAGACGAAGCATGTGTTTGTGATCGTCTGCTCGTTTCTTTGACATTTAAATTTGTTATTATGAGTGGGTTATTCAAGTTCGGTTTTACTAGAGCTGGGACAGCATCCAGACAAGACCAACAGGATCGTACTGAACAAGGTGTCGAATCAGATATCAGCTCAAAGGAGGCAAATGATCGTGATCTTGACGCTGTAAGTGAAACTCAAACCACTAGTGAAATTCTACTTACCGGGGATGCGTCAGCAACACCCCCGGGAAAGAAGAAAAAAGTTGTGAAGAAATTTGTTCCTATTTGGAAAACTGGGCGACCATGGCTTATTTTTGATAATGGAAATAACGTTATGTTCTGTCAATGGTGCCGGGATTTTGGCCGAGATAACATTGAACATGCTTTTCGCCGGGGAAGCAGTAACTTTCATCTGTCACATCGCACGAGAAAAGTGAACCACATAAGAAGGCAAGTGGTGCGTATGCGGTAAATAATCTGTCAGCGAAGTGAAAATGCCCCATTAGAACAAAGTATAATTAATGCAGAAAAGGAGCAAGTGTCTAAATTAGAAAAACTATTTCGCATTTCTTATTATGTAGCAGTTGCTGAACGACCTTTTACCGATTTTGCCGGACTTTGTGAATTACAAGAATTAAATGGAGTGGATCTTGGGGTTGCCTACAAAAACGACAAACAGGCGTCTACTTTTATTCACTATATTTCAGAAGTCCACAGAGAAGAACTGAAACGTGTGATTAATAACGAGATATTTTCTATTTTAATTGACTCTGCCACAGATGTGGCAACTATTGACGAGGAAATAATGTATCTATCTATATAGTAAAGGAATTTTAACGTCAATAGACGCGGCTTTTGACAAAGAGTTTCAAATAGACGCACAGACTTGGAAAGAAAAACTTGTGGGCTTCGGTGCAGACAGGGCTGCCGTCAATTTTGGTCAGAGGCAGGGTGTTAGTGCGAAATTACGTGCGGATATCCCTCATCTTGTATCAGTCCACTGTGTAGCCCACAGATTGGAACTGGCTATTAAACACGCACTTAAACAATGTAAATATTTCAAAGAAATTGAGGATTTTCTCGTAAATATTTTCAAGTTTTATAAGAACTCGCCATTAAATTGGTCAAATTTACAGTTAGCTGGAGAAACCACGAATGTGAAAGTATACAAACCTTCTAACGTCCTGGCACAAGATGGATTGGTCACCATGAACGTGCAATTATAAATATTACTAAGAACTATTCAGCTATGTTCACTCACCTCGACCAGGTTACGATCACAGGGCAGTCAAGTGATGCAAAAAATAAAGCAAAGGATTTTGCAGAAATTACAGTCTTACAGATTTATTAATCTCTTTATGTGATG